AAATTTACGTCGCTAAATTGGCAAAATTTGACTTGTAACATTGTTGCAATCATTTTAGGATAAATCTAGCTTACACAAGATAAAAGTATCTTAAAAAAAATTCATAAGATCTCTTATTGAATTTTTCAAAATACGCTGCATCCACCTTAAAAACGAGCGAAACGGAAATCGAAACAAACAATTTTACAATCTTAAAAAAATCGAACTTGGATAACCATCAGCGATGTGATAAAGTCATATTCCAGCATGAAAAAACATCTCGTACGGCCTTACCTGTTATTCTTCGTTCAACTTTTCGTGCAGAACTTAGAAATAGCTGCAGAATATAATAAGTATTCATTGTTAAACTTCGTGTAGCGGTGATCCATCTCGAGAATACACTTGTCACATTGTCTGTCCAATAAACAGCTAGCAGTTTAGCGAAATTGCTTTTTCGTTCTTAAAAAAAAGAAAAAAATCCGAAGGAACATTAACTCGACGCGGATCACCGTCGGGAGTATCAGCTATAATTGGATCGCTTAATATTCCTTGATTGATCACTTGATTTTATCGCGTTTGATCATTCGTTTTCGATTTTGATATACATTATAATGTCGATGAACGTAGATCAGTACTGATTAAATTTATTTTTCTTATCTTTATTACTACGGCTTCCGTTATTATCCCTCCTAAAGTACCGTTATTACGTATGTTTGTCACATTGTTATCGGTTATGATAATTGTTCCCGTGGTTGTTTCTCGGTTACTATTGTCGCACAGAAGATACACATATAACTCGTATACACACGTGCACTTGCGCGGTTTCCAGTGCTATTAGATGTACACGTTGACGTAATGACGAGTGTAACCGTGCGCGCCGAAGGTAAAACCGTACGCGTGCACATACAGATATGTTACGTTTTTTATATATTTATCTATATATCCCTATCTCTCTCCCTCCCTTTAGGATGGTGGATGCTGGTGTAACCGTGTAACTTTGTCGTTCTCGGTGTTAGCCGCAAGATCTTCTCTTTAACGCCTACAAACGCTTTAGCTCGCACACGGAACTGACTAACATTGTTCTTTCTTTTTTTTCTCTGTTCCCTCTATTTCGCAACGCGCCGTCGTCGGCCCGCAGACAGAAAGCTGTTCGTTGGTATGTTAAGCAAGCAACAAACTGAAGACGATGTGCGACAGCTGTTTACTACCTTCGGTTCAATAGAGGAGTGCACCATCCTCCGTGGACCCGACGGAAGCAGCAGAGGTGAGTGGTTCATTTCCCATTTTTTTTTTTGCATCACTTTTGTGTTTTTATATTTAATAACTATCGCATGATTACACACGATACATTTGGAGACAATAAAGGAGATGTAGATAGCCAATTTTCTCGATTAATTTCTCGTTCGGAATAAATAGTAGCGGAATAACTAATCGCGAAAGAGAATTTGAATATCTTTTATTTTACTTCGATGGAAATTAGCTGAAAAGATTTGTAATGTGCGAATTACAAACGTTACTAATGATTCGCTATTATAAAAAGTTCAAAGATCGCCGATAAAGGAATTTAAAAATAGCGTGCTTCAGTCTCTAAGGGATTAAGCACGAAAATTGTATTCTCTCTAAAACTAAGTGTACCGTAACGTGGTGCACGTATATTTTTATGTCGTGGGATAAAAGCATAGGCACATTGTCCATAAAAATACGAGTATCTGTGCAATTTTTAGCTGCAGGGCGGCTAAAATATTCGCGTCCTTCTTTCCTGCACGATCGTTTTACGTCTCCACCGTGCATTACCTTTTCCTCTCGATTCATACAATTTCGATCTTTCAGCGTACGAATAACAATCTAAAATAAAAGCCCCTATAATTTCGGCACTGTTGTTGCGTCTTCTTGTTAGCGCGTAGAAATGAATTTCATGATATATACAGGGCATTACAAATGCTCATTGTATTTATTAATTTTTTTTTACCATTCAACTTCGAATGTTTAAATTAAGTAAAAAATTACGAATATCTTAAAATAAAATTTAATTTTAATTAAACAAGAAATTTAATTTTCATTATTTGTTTGCACTTAAGACTGGCATTTAAAAAATCCCTAGATTTTTATCGCGTAAAGGAAACCTTGACATTTTGCTGAAGAAAAATTTATTCCAAAGTAGTCAAGGAAATAAAAAAGAGATAGTATAGGTAATCTTGAACACTTTGTACATCAGTAGCTGAGAGAAAGAGAAAGAGAGAGCTACGAAGTTCATAATCGCGGCGTCTTTAAGCGCTTCCATCGAACGATGAAGCGAGCAAAGAGACTCTTCGAGGCACCTGGTTTCCAAAGGGGTGGGGGCGAACAGACTCCGCGAAATTAATCATGAGATGAGGCAGTAAAAAGGAGGGAGGGCGGTTATCTCAAAGGAAAGAAGGCAATTGCCTCGACCAAGCATTACGAGAAGGAAAAAAGAAATAGAGGCTCGCCGCCTGACGATGATGCACGACTAAGACCAGGCGGAAGGATATAATCGCGACGGCATTTGAATATCCGCTCGCGCTGTAAACAGCGCGGAAGGGTAGATGGGCGGAGAGGGATGGATGTAATTCGAGCGGGGATAACTGACGGAATGGCGGGCGGAAAGTGGGTGCGGAGCTGCAGTCGGACGAAGCGGCAAGAGCAATAATTTCCGCTGGACGAGGCGGCGAAATTTAAATATTTTCATTCAAGAGTGAAGACCCCGCGATGCGTCGGTAAGCAACGAGGGGGAAGGAGAGGTAGCAACCAGCTATGGAGGAGGTGATCGAAGAAAATGGGAAAGCAAGGCGGACCAGAGAGAAAGGCAAGGGAAGAAAGAGGAGAGGAACGCAGAAGCGAGAGCAGGAAGGAGATAGGGCAAACCGAGGAGCGACCGAGAGAAATAAGGAAACGGGTAGGAAGGGCGCGGGTAGGCAGGCGCGAATGTAATTAAATTCCACTTTGAAGTGAAACTCACTTTCAGCAGTTAATAAGATTTTGATTCGCAGTCGGTGACGTAACGTAGCGCGCCCATCGTCTTTGGCAGGTAGGCGCTGCTCGTTCGCGACGACGAAGAAAGCACAGGGTGGCGGAGGTGGCGGTGGGGAGACGCCGGGGAGAAGTAACGGAAGTAGTATGCAAGAGAAGAGCTTTACAATGTGCGAAGTCTGTGCTCCTTCGCTACCAGCAAAGACCAAGCCCAGCCTTTCCCGTTCTATGTTCTACCGTTTGCGTCAGAGCTCCGGTTCTTTGTCGAAAGCCAGGACGATGTTGCGCCTGCTTTCCGAGCTCTTTAATTAAAATTACGTGGGCGCGCGCAGCATGACGACAGTTTCCAACCGGTAGTCGGTTTATCACGTGGAATGCGTTCGCGATTACTCGCCGAGAATCTCAGGTATGTCGGCCGACGATTACAATACCTTTGACGAAATGAAGCACGCGAGGTCTGAGCGCAATCTCGAACTTAATCTGCTTCGCTTCGCGAAGTTGAGCGGAATGGTCAATCGGTGACGTTGACCACAAGCGACTGCATCCATTTCTCCGGATCCCTCGAATAAAAGAACGTACCAATTCCATCCCCGCTCTCGTGAAAGCTAGAGCTTAGAATGCGAATCTTCCACGAGATAATCCCACTGCAACCCTAACCGCGACATTCGTCCTTGGACATTGGTATCAGAACGAAATTACTCGGCAGGGATGGATGTGCTCGCCGCGAGAAAGGCCTGATTGCTTATTCCGCGCAACTCCACCGCGGCATATCCCACGCCCTGATCTCGTCCCAGCGGAAACTTTCCCAACACGCTTCATCACCGCTCGCCGAGCCTCGGTCGAGTTTCATAACTAGCTAATCCGACCCGTAATAGAGAGATCAAGCAGAGCTCTGACGAGCGCTCTATATATATATATATATATATATATATGTACACGTATAACACACACACACACACACACACACACACACACACACACACACACACACACTATATGTGT